CGTTTTCGTTGAATTTCGGTGAAAACTTAATTTCCACGAATTTACATTTCACGTTTTTCATCTGCGTCCAACAGTCATATAAGATTTTTTCTTTTTTAATTTTAACTTCGAGGGCAATTTTGACATCCCTTCATAGACGTTTGATGATAAAAATAACAAGAATCAAATATTTTTTTCGAATTTTATATAATAAACTAAAATTGTAGAAAAAGAACAAAGAAAAATTTATACGATCCTGTAATCATTGAATTTCGTTAGAAATTTTCCGAAATCGATCCGATAGAATTTTCTCGTCGATGAAAAGTCAGAGTGTGGACGTGTAAAGCCTGTTGTTCCGTCACCTCCACAGGGTGTCGCTTTCAGTCCCCGAACAAGGCCCACGGGACAGGTGTAAGACAACACGTTTCCATTCACCACTGTGTGGTGTCGTCGAACGCATCGCGCTCGCGTTCGTTTCCACCTTTCCGATACGTGAAATGACGAACAGTGTGAAGAAAATTAGCGAAAATCGAAGTAGAATTAGTGTCATGTGATGAGAGTAGAGGAGAGGAAAACTGAGACAGTGAAAAATGTGAATACTATTGGTGAAGCAATATTATGTAATTATATTTGCAGTTAATTGAATAGATAAATATCAAGGGTAAAAAAAATTAACAAAACGAGGTGAAATATTGTAGGAAAAGAAACGGTGAAAAATGTACATTTTATCGATGAAATGATACTGTAAATCGAGGATCGAGTAATTGGTGAGTTAATTGGTGGAAGAAGTAAATTGAGACCGTGAAAATGGTTTTCTTCGGAAGAAAAGAGAAACTGGAAGATCGTCGTCTGCTGGAGAGCATCGATGCAATGAACGGTGCAAAGATATATCAAATAGAAAACGGTAAATTATTCTACTTCTGTTTTTAATCGAATATCCTTGTAGACAATGAGAAAAAAGACGATGTATGTAAATGATTCGTGTCGAGGTTTCTTCTTCGAGCATCAATCGTCGAAAGAATTTCAAGAATTTCTTCAAATTAACCCTTTCAATGTTTAATCACTGGAGAAATGCTTCTTTCGCATAAATATTATTACAACGGTTTGCCATTGTCTTTGCTTTTCTATTCTTCGCGCGTAAACGATGGGTGCAGCTTGCAACGAGGAGAAAGGAAAAAGGAAATAAAAAATTGCAATACTGTGCGTTCCTTTCTTAATACGATTTTTATTTAATACCAGCAACAATTTTATTTTTCGTTATTTAAAGAACATTTCCGTCGAGTTTAAACGCGTGAGAAAATAGGTCGAGGCGTACTGGAAACACGATATGACATGATAGCTATAATGCTCGTTGCAAGTCTATGCACCGTGGCTCGGTGTATCGATATCTTGGTAAAGTGCACGCATTTATCATGCAACCATTCCATCGTCGACGTCGCTTATGGTCGATTATGTTTATCGAAACCACTCGAAACTCGAGAGCTGTGTGCCATAGATAATTATTAACCCCTTTGGTTACGAACGGTGTACATACAGGAGGTTTCAAAAAAAATTACAATTCATATCATTTCCTGCAATCTGACTTCGTTTTCGAAATACAAATGGTTGGAAATTAGTCGCCCGACTTCTAGAGTGATCTGTTTAAATATAAAACAATTAAATTATAACTGTTCAAATTTTCCACTACCAAAATTGAATTGCAGTTAAATTTCAAATTTTGCTAAAATCTAGTAACTAGGTAACTCGGCCAGCTGAGATTGAAAATACGAAACAAAGCGTGGCAATGATGTTCTAATTGGTCCTATGACTTGTGAATAGATTCAATGTTAATTGGCACAGCTTAGACACTGTCGTTAGCACTATTCTTAAGACTCTTTAGTCCTTGAGTGTATACTTCTCATTATTGTTTTGTATCATTTTCCTCCACTGGTCGAATAGTTTACCGACCGTTGTATTTTCGATTATTCCCACGGAAATGTCCTCGTGCTCCTGTCAGCCACCTGTAGCTGGCCGAATATTGATCCACCCGGAAGATGGCCACACCCGGCTTCCCCTCGTCGCTCGGTTCCCACCTCTTTTACACCCTCGTCCCGACGCTTCGTACGATCTAGTGTCGTTGCCCTACCCGATCGTCGAGCTTGCACAGTGTAATGGAAAAGTGCGTGATCGCTGTTCCAGCTGCCTTCATGCACGTTCGCGACAACCTGGAGGAGTTGGGCAACGTGGCCGATGATACGGACCTGCTGTTCCTCAAGGGTCTGCTGGACAGTCCTGTTGTCACGTCTCTGGTCAAGGTGAGTGAACACTTCTACGCTTCTCATAAAAAAAATAAAAATTCGACAAATGACATACACTAATTTTCATGTAACTTTGCATAATTATTTATGGAACTAATTTTAGATTGTTAACTATAGTATTTGATTAGTGCTACTTTGATGCTTGAACTCTTTAACGAATTATCGATGTCGCCAAAAGTTTGTTAATTGGGCCTGGGTCGGATGGTACCCGGACGATATTTTTCGATAGCGTGTATCTACCCAGTAAAGGTTGATTAATTGCAAGTACTTACTGGAGGTGTTGTATATTGTTTTTGGCCGAGATGAAACAATGGTCAGAGTCGTCGAATGGGCCCACGTGTTTACTACGATCGTCATCATTTCATCGTTTCGTAAAATAGAAATTCGAAAACGAAACACGGAAAGATGACATCAATTTTCAATAGAAATCTGTTCGGTGCCGTTGAACCCGTTTTCTCTTGCTTCTTTCCAATTCTATCAGGGATCAGTTTCGAAATGGCTCGCTTTTAAAAATAGAAGATACAGAATTGGAGCAACCGTTTGTTACGATTTTGCATTTTATCGATAGTCTGTTTATTTGATACCCGTCGAGGTAGAATTTTTATTTTGTCTACTCGGTTGACCGGGCTTAATGAACCTTGGAATCATCGTTTTTTTAATGAAACTATTTATCATTGTTTATTCGAATCGAAATATCGAGGATTCCCACGGAGCAGGAATGCAGGACGCACTTCTGCAGAAAACGGCTCCTCAATCACGCGGCGCGTCGAGAAATTTTCAAAAGATGAGCTATTTTTGTATGTTATTTTTTTTAAGCACCCCTTGCATCACAGTCTCCGTGTAAAACGCCCACGTTATTTTCGTCACGACACACATTTTAAACGAACGTCTTCGTTCTCGACCTTCGGTGAAAAGATTGCGCTATAGTTTCGTGACGCAACGCGTGCGTCACGCTTTCGTCGATTCTTACGCAACCAGATGACAACACGTGTGTATATAGACATTTTTATTTTAAACAATTGTGAAATTTAAATCTAGGAAAAAGGAAGGAAAAATACTTTTGGTGGTTGAACCGTTTTACAATGAAAGAAGTGCCTCGAATATCCGGTTTTCTTTTATCTGAAGACGCCTGACTTTGTGACCTAAAACGGTTCCAAATTATCTTGTCCCGATCACCGAGCAAGCATATACGTGCCTTCCTGTGAGACTTTAGGGCCCACTTGCTCGTTCCCCTCACCTGGCAGCAGCCACATTCCATCCCTGCTGTTCGGAGCCAACAGGTAGAAAACGCGTCTGGTGTCGAAAAGTCGTTGAGAAGCCGGTGTACGTTTCCTGTTTCGAAGGTAACAATGGAGATCGCTGATAGATGCGGGGAGGTGTTTGTCGAAAAGCTTCGCAAACGAGCGTGAAAAGCCACCGTGGTAACCTTGGAAAATTAGCCGATTGATTTAGGTCAACGTGTCGAAAGAGAAACAGCATGGAAATTTCAGGACCCGTTTGACTTTCCACGCTGATTGTTTTTTTCTTTTCACACCTTTTCAGAATAATGAAAAGAAATTTAATTACTTGGATTAGAAGGAGAACACGTGCGAGAAATTGAAATAAAATCACGTCTACTTGAACCGAGTTCTAGGAAGGTTGTGGGAAAGTAAACAAAAGAAGAATTAATTAAATTTTACTTCTGATGAGATCTCGCTAATTTGGATTAATTGTGTCGTGGGGGTCAAAAATTCAGGGCAACAAGATCTCGTGATGCTATCAATCTTTCCGGCACGTGGAATTCGTTCATCAGGAATTAACGTTTTAACCTAAACACTTAACCACTTGAGTCTCGTTTAAAAGAAAAACAAATAATTTTCTGAAAAGTAAGCAAATCTAACCATTGAAGAAAGACCATTTTTACTTTTTCTTCGCTTTCACACTACTTTGCGAGCCATCCATCACTTTCTCATCCGCTTTTATTCCTCGCTATTGACCAAATATGACCACATCATCCCCGAAGAACCGGAAATCCCAGAGAATCTCTCCCGGAGAGAACAAAGGCGTTTCCTGCGGTGGGGGATGAATCAAGCGAGTGAATCAGGCGGTGGCGCGCGACCGACACAGGAAGTCAGTGACAAATGGCATTCTGAGTTTTTATGAATAATTCTGGAGCCGGTTAATTGACAAATCATTGTCGCACGACTCCTCTGGTATCTTGGTTAATTGGCGCTGACCTCAGGGAACCCGGCCAATTGACTCGAGGTCAGCAGCGTTGTCTCGCTTGTCTCGGCCAGAATTATGGGGATTATTATGTTGCGAAAGATAGACAAGTAAGAATGAATTTATCAATTTTCGGTTTTTCAAACATTCGCGAGTACTTGCGAGAAAGTAGGTTTAACATAAAATCTGACAACCGGCTGTCGTCATAAGACGTCACGCTCGACGCGACCAAATCGTGATCGATTAATCGTTCAATTTAACCAGCTTAGCATCGAAAGATCGATCGGCACAGCTTCTGAACGCTTCAATTTACAATCTCACGGTATCGTGATCGCCAAAAATTTGTCACTCAGTTTCTTTTATCGGTCCTCAAAGATAATTAACGTCCCTCTGGTGGCCAGAGCTAAGAGGTAATAGTCAGAGTCATCGGCACTGTCTCGCAGAAATCGCGAAGCCTCGTCGCGTGTAGCCGTGTACACGGCACGATGTAATTTCAACCGGCTTTGTAATCGCGCGCAGGAACGAGGAGGTGGAGTACGCGTGTGCGACATCCGTGCACGTGTATGTGACAGTGACGTAGCTATCTTGAGAGGGTACCATGCGTTTCTCGGATACGAAATTCGTAACCCTTTCGCATTCCAAGTACATCCGCCCGAAATTATGCCCTGATTTTCAAACGACCCTTCACTTGCCTGCCATTATCATTGATCGGTAATAAAACGAACGCTAACGATTCTCTCCTGATTATTCTTAACACCGGAGCAATACGATCCCGTTGTATCGCGTAACGGATTATCGTGTATCTTGAGAAGGCTGGTCTACCTGAGATCGCGAGATCGACAAACGGATCGGTGTCAACGACTGAGAGTATTTTTCCATCTCAACTTATTTCCAATGGATAACGGAATGAAAGTCCTATTCGCGAGCGTGCGAGCACAGACATTCGGTACGCGAGAATAATGTGCGCAATCGGAATGCTAAGTACTAGAAGAAACACCCCCTCCTTTCCTATAAATACTTGAGATATTCAACATTCCTTGCCAGAAGGCATGCTCGTATTTACACGTTCAAATCATCGTTACTTTCCTCGATGCAAGTCGACACCTTTTCGGGTCTCTTCTCTTTCTACAGAAGTTTCTTCTCTTTCACATGAAATACAGTGAAATACAATGGCACGAAAATTTAAATTTAAAAAGGAAAGGTGCCATTTGCGTATAAAATGAAAAATTGTACCCGTCATAGGTGTACAAGGATAGCGAAGGTGTTACATTTATACATCCGGCTGGGTCAAAATGACGCCGAATCGGTTGAAAGGTACACGTCCCTGCAACTGAACGTAGCGTAGCGTCGAAGAAGGGCCCCCACCTGTTTCGTTTGAAACAGCCTGAACGGAGCGTGTCCACGAAGAGGTGGGGACGAAAGAAACGTCAGTAGGCGCGGCAGTTTTCTGACGCCGCTTACCTAAGCAACACGCACCGTGTGTACCCTGTGTTCCTCTATATTTTAATCAGTTCCCTCAGTCAATTTCCTTTTCTCCCCCCGTGTATTCCCTTTGACCCCGAGTTTCCCGTACAATCGACGGCCCTGCGGTGTTACCTCGGCGCTGATCGATACACCAAGACCACTCGAGCCAGCAGGCCATAGTCGCAGCAGTTCCACAGGACTTCTCTCCAAGGTTCCATTTAATTCGTTCTCCAGAACAGGATCCCAGGGCGACCTCTGCTTCAGCGTTTCTTCAGCCACGAAGTAAGTCGCTCTCTTCTTCGCTTCTCTGTTTCTCTTCGATGGGTTTACCTGGGAGATAACGTTTCCTCGATTAGACACCGTTCCTCTCCATCGGGAGATCACTTTTTCTAATCTCCGCACTTTAGATCCTTCGAATCCAATAGTCAGGATTTTCGAATATTTATCAATTAAATGGATTTGAGAATTTATTGGCGCCACTGTTGCACTGGCTACACGTGAGCTACGGAGAAAGCGCGAATTCCTCAGCATGGATCTTCCATGGCGTCCATCGATGCTTGATCTCTGTTTAAACGTACCTTTATAGGTTTTCCACGGGTGGTCGAGTGGTTTATGGAACAGGTCACTGCACCTCTGTGTACAGTTTCTGTAATTCATCGTTGATACGATCATGGTATTTCAATTTCGTAGGGTTAACACCATAAGGATCCATGAACACCATAGATATAGATCATCGTACGTATAATTAACATGAAATTATCAATTTCTCTTCAATTGCAATTCTTCTACGGGTGTTGAAAATTCATTGTACACACTGTATAAATTATATACACCACGGTCGATCGATCTTGTAAATATCGTTTGATCGACGCGTAACGAACGAGAACCTGGTTGTTCTTCGAATGTAACAATCTTCGTACGGTTGGTGTGTTTCGTGAGAGCTTTTCAGGGACGTCATGGAAGAACGAGGGAATTTATTATACACCACGGATACGTACATACGTTGAACGCCAGCTGTTCTAGCGTTGTCGTTTTCCGTGACAAATGAGGTGCAATTAATGCGTACGATAATGTGCTGAAATACCTGAATATTCGTTATCTGTTTTTGCTTTCACATTTTATCGTACGAAATCTGTACGATATTTACATTCATCCGAAATAATTAAAAATTTCAGTTAAACGAACCTTTCGACCGTCAGCCGAAACGACCTGACGAATTTCAACACCCACGCTAGATTTTCATAAATTCATTTTCGCGTTTGATACGACCGGAAGCGCGGATCCTCGATCTTTCGCGAGGAAAATGTCAAACGTGGCGTGTCGCAATCGGTGGGATCGATGTTGCAACCTGGAATCATGAAAATTGTTGTTGCATCTGCGATGCACGTGTATCGTGTTGAATGATTCAAAGTTGAGTCATCTTCCGTCGCGATGAACAGCGACGTGTGTCGTATAATTTCGATAATTTTAAAATGTTTCTTCTTATGAAAAATTATTTTCAACGCTGTTCGAATCGTTGTTCCCGATCGACGCGTTCAGGTATCGGCGTTCTCGAAGGTGGCTCTGAAACGCCGAGAATGACCCACTTTCGTAATTACTCCCTCATTGTTGTAGCATTGCATTCGCTGATTCAACGTAGCGTACGCTGGCCTTACGTGCTCGGCTAATCGAATCAGACCTCGTTGACGCCGGGTCATCGTTGCTCAATGATAATTCGACACTTGGTAGCCGATGAATCGACGAAAATTTTGCTCCATTTCGAAAGAAACGATCGATAGAAGTTTTTCAAACGTCCCAAAAGCGATCGGAAATTTCTTCATAGACAGTAAACTAATCCATCGTATAACGATCTACGTGATTGTGAAATCGTTGCTTCGAGTAGGCTGAAAGATTCTGTTTCTCTCGAGTTCTTCGAGGAAGACAAAGAACAAATAAGGTTCCTCGTGCGGTGAATTTAATGCGGAAACCCGTTTCGACTTTCACAAGCAACGACTGCTAAGCCGTTCGCTGTTGATGGCTTTGAACAGCTTCTACTTTGATCAATGAAAATCAATGAATTAATTGCAAAAGAAATTAGAAAATCTGAAAATCTTAGAAATCGTGAATCTTTTTCGTGATAAATAAATAATTTGATCATCGAGTTTGCCGAAAATGTCAAAAGGAGAACCCTTCTACGGAATCTGGAAACAAAATCGGATACTCGAAACGTTATCCAGTGAAAGGATCCGAGGGAAGAAGTTCCAAACGAAAACCTGTTTCCGATGAATCCTCTCGAATGACAGAGGTGTTTAATTATTTTTCAGGTGCAAGAGCGTCTGGAGGATCCGCCGGTGCACGTGGAACCGGTATGCTCGTCCGTTTGTGACATCGTTGACGAGGTTTGCTACGTTCTCCGCTCCTGCAGGGACGAGAACGCTCGCGAGCTCGTTCGATTGTTGAGGAGTTCTCACCTGAAGGCGCTTCTCGAGACCCACGACGCGGTTGTCGAACGAAAGGAAGCACCTCCGAAGCTCGAACCGTCGCCGACGACGATGCCCACCAACGAGAGGACAGAGGCTGTCAGGATGGTTGGCCTCAGACGACAACCCGACGAACCTTTGGTAAGATTCAAGATTTCATAACTCCGGGTATATTGGAATATTTTTCAGGCCGATAAATAATAATTCGCCGCTGGTGTTCTCGGAATAACAATTTAGAAATTCCTGTGCTCGAAAATATTTTTGTATCTTTCTTACCGAAGATATTTTTACATCCCTGATGATTTGTTCCCGTTCGCTCTTGACTGACGAAGAAAGTGGCAAACAAGAGTCGGAGGCACGTTCTTCGCGGTTCAACAAAGATGTAAAACCGTTCGTTGCCCGATGTTGGATCTACTTTTAGAGGTTTACCATTCCGTCACGCGAGAGAGAATTCCCATTCTGAAATCGCGGCGAGCAAGCTGACTGGGAGAAAAGACGGAAATGCCACTCGCAGTTCATAAATAATTCGGAACGTTTATTATCGTCGCGATCGCCACGTGGCCTCTTCGAATAATCCTCGGGAAATCTCGAATCTCGAAAAAGATTGATGGCTCTCGAACAGCAAATGTTTGGATAATTATCATTTAATAGCGTAACGTGTCGCTTTCAATAATCGTCTGTTTCTTCTTTCCATTTCATTTCGAAATCTCGGCAGATTAATTTAAAAATACCTTGCCCTTTTGCCGATAAACAAAGCGTCCGAGGCTTACGATTTCGACCATACCGCGTGTCTTAACTGCTCCTTCGCGATTGCGCAAGGAACAGCGGGGTTTTCTTTGGCCCGGAGCAAGAAGAACAAACAGTGAGATTCAAAGACAGATGGTGTCAAAGAAACGCGCGTTGCAACGAGAATCGTTCGTTCATCACCGGCGTTAAACAGGGATAATGGAGATCCCGGTTGTCCGAATCGTAAAACACGATTTGTTTTCACTTTTCACGTTTTCATTGTTCGCAGGGCTTAACGGTGCAAGTCGACGAATCTGGTAATTTGATAATCGCCAGGATCCTCGGTGGTAGCACAGCAGCGCGTCAAGGACTGTTGAGAACCGGCGAGGTGATCCTCGAAGTGAACGGAAAGGAAGTTCATAATCCGGAGGAGCTTCAGGAAGCCATTCACGAGGCGAAGGAGAATCTGACGTTGAAATTGGCCCCGGGTATTGCGAGTGACGGTAATCGACCTCTGAAATCCACGGTGAGTAAAACAGAAATTCTTTAAACAAAGATGGATAAGTTCAGAAAACGCGATCTTGTCTTTTTTTCTTCTTTCGAAATGGATCTTTACGCGAGCGAACACTTCGAATTGATTCGTTTTTACGGTCGCATATCTTGGCAAGACTCGTTTTAAATATTATTTTCTTATTTTCTGAGTTTCCAATGGTTCAGCGATGCTTAGCATCTGTTTTCACAAGTGATTCTTTCCCATTCATCTCATTTTTTGGTAAACTTTTATCAGCAAAGTTGTAAAATTTTTATAGTTCCGATTCTGGTACCGTTAAGAGCTGAACGGAGAATATAACCGCGTGTGTTATAGACAGGCATCATTAAACGTATTCGTAAAATCTTGAAGAGGATAGAACAGATTCCATTAATCCGCGATCAGAGTCTATCCAAACATACAATATCGAGAGTATCTTCCGAGCCATTACTATTTATATATTTGACCTTGGGTCAAAACTGAGTCAGTATCGACTAGACGAAAATGAAGAAAAGAATGCCTCAAGAAATGATTGCGATCTTGAAAGCTACTGTTCTGTTCCAGTGTTACATGAGAGCGTTGTTCGACTACGACCCCTCGGAGGACAGTCTGCTACCATGCAGAGAGATAGGACTTCCGTTCCAGAAGGGCGACGTGTTACAAATCGTGGACCAAGCTGACCCGAATTGGTGGCAAGCCCGTCGCGTGGAGGGCGAAGGTCTCGGTCAACCAGGTTTGATCCCCTCGTTGGAACTCGAGGAACGTAGGAAGGCGTTCGTTCCGCCGGAAGCTGACTTCGTGCACAAGATCAGCATCTGCGGCACCAGGATCTCGAAGAAGAAGAAGAGGAAAATGTACCAATCGAAATCGAACGGCGAGTTCGACGGTGCTGAATTGCTTTTGTACGAAGAAGTTGCCAGGATGCCACCGTTCAGACGTAAAACACTGGCCTTCGTTGGTCCTAGAGGCGTTGGTCGAAGGACCCTGAAGAACAGGTTGATAAACAGCGATCCAGAGAAATTCGGTACCATCGTTCCGTGTAAGTGTTTCTCATTTTTGTATGAAAATAAAGTAATTTCATGAAGAATTTTCAGAAATGTTATCCTTATTTCTTCAGTTACTTCGCGACCGCCAAGGGTGCTCGAAGAAGATGGTAAAAGTTACTGGTTCACCGAACGGGAAACGATGGAGACCGATATCAGAGAGCACCGATATCTCGAATACGGAGAACACGGGGGCCATTTGTACGGTACGAAGCTCGATTCTGTACGAGAATTGATAAGAGCTGGTAAAATGTGCGTGCTGGACTGCAGCCCGGCTGCTCTGAAGATCCTCCACAACAGCACGGAATTCATGCCGTATGTGATCTTCATCGCAGCACCGGGAATGGAACAGTTGAAGTGTTTGTACGACCTGGGAAGGTCTACCGGCGCGAGCAGTCGAAACTTGACGGTAATTTTCTACGCTCCTCGAACTCCTCCTTTCCCCATTTTTATTTAACGCTTTCACTGTCACGCAAAGAATAGTTTCCTAACGAACCGGTGGCTGTTATGAAATTAATTAATAAATGAAAATATAGAAATTACTTGGAAGTGAATTTAACGTGGCAGTCAAAGTGAAAGTTATTTCTTTCTTTTTTTATATACGAATTACGTGAACAATGATATGGAGAATGCTTTGATGTTCTATGAATGAAAATTTCTGTTACGTGGTAAAATTTCTGTTAATATCGCTTCCATAGAAGTTACATTCCCAGTTCCAACGATTCTATTTAAAGAATGATTTATTATTGCAAAATGTATCCTTTCGATACCTTGACACTTTTGAAGTTCGCAGCTGCAAAGCTTTGCAGTCAAAGAAGAAGAAAAAAATGAGTTCTGTAAATTTGTTTTCCAAGATCATACGCTATCGCTTCTGCCCGTCAATGAACGTAAACGTGAGAAATTTGAAATTTCTAAAATAAAATTTGAAGAATTCCGAGCCGACTTAAGGATTTTACGTGCACGCTAATGTTTCTTTCATCCATTAGAATTTGAAATATCATTGTTGGTTCATAGCAAATTTATAATATCCAACGAATGGCTAAACATGTATTGTATATATAAAAGAGAGAAAAGAAAAATTGAATTAAACGAAGGCTTCGAAACACATTGATTCGAAGAATCAACGCTCGTATAATCGGAATCATCGCAACGAATTGAACGAAGAATAAAACATTGCCTGCTCGATTGAAAGTAGCCCAAACAAACAATCGCCGTTGTGTAACTAAAAGCCTCGATTCGATAATTTAAGTTATTATTACGAGAAACTCGTGGATATACTTCGAAAAACAATATTTAAATTCGTTCGCGCGAATTGTTACATTCGGAATTCAGTTTCTGACAAAAAAGAATTAAAGTATCTCTTTTTTTGCATTCACCCAAAAAAGAAAAAAGAAATGGAGTCCATTCGCGATGAAACGATTCGAAATTTTTGCGTGAAGAAGATACACGAGTACAGACGTCAAAATTGAAAACAAACACAGCCATGAAATCTTTTACGATTCGCAGCCTTTCGAACCCCTGCCTGCCAGTCTCTGTTTACCCTTTTCATGTAAATGCGTATATAAATTGCCTACTGTAAATGTATCGCATGCACTTTCGTTCGAATTACAACAGGCCCGATGCATTAGTTTGCCCCGTGAAATTCATCGTACTTTGCATAATGTTGTTTTCGTTCTATCCAGACCATCTACGTTGATACTGAATATTCATATGAGCCTTATTTTTCTTTTTACAAGCGATCCAAGCCGGCTTTATTTGCAAACGTATTGCAATTTAAATAAAAAAGAAACTGGTTTATAGCTGTTTTAAAAGAAAAAGAAAAAATGGCTCGTATATTGCTGTTATAAAGGTGTCTCAGGTTTTTGATATAATTCACTGGATGACCAGTGCTTAAGTTTACCAAGAAAAACCCGGGACACCGTATATATTCACCCTATCCCTCATAATTTACGTAGTACTGTTTATTTAATCTTTTGTATTTGTATTTGATGTTGGCTTTGCTAGTTTGACCGCCAGAGTTCCATCAGGTACAGCTCGAGAAGAGCCAGGACGCTGGAGTCCCTTGCTTCCTTATACGAGGTTTGTATCGCATGCCCTTTCGATGTTGTAGCGTAGTACATTTGCTAGCAGTCTCTTACCTGACCAGTATTGTCTATAAAAGCAATTAGCTAAATATAATACCTAAGGAGGTCCAAAGGTATCTTTGTAAAAAAAAGAACATAGACAGTATTGTTCAGAAATTTTATTTCCTTCATTTATTACATTTTAAATTTTAATGAGTAAAATCTATTTAGTATATTTAGAGATTATAGACGAATCTATCCCAAAGATAGCACTGAAGAACACCCAGAGTTTTACTTGAAAATTAAATCTTATGTATTGTCGAATAACAGGAGGACGATCTGAAGTCGACGTTAGAGGAATCAGCAGCTCTGCAACGTGCCTACGAGAAGTACATCGATCTGGTGATCGTGAACGAGGACTTCGACAATACATTCAGACAAGTGGTCGCCGCGTTGGACGCGTTAGCCACCGAGCACCAATGGGTACCAGTGAACTGGATCTACTGAACACGAGTCGCGCCAAATCGTGTGGAGTTCAAATATTGCGACGGGAACTCGATGTTCCGATCGAAAAACGAAACCGCGTTTAATGCCACTGGGGAACACGCGCGATGTCAACTCTTTGTAGACGTCGCAGAACGTGCTCGTCAGAAATCGACCATCGTCGAGCGTGTCGTTATTACGTTTGCATTCGTACCATTGTATCGTCGTGCAATATACAGCGATCTTGAGCTATTGCTACATGTATCATAAAGTTCTTTTAGCGTACAAGGACGCGCTCGACCCCGGTAAAACGGCTATGCAAGGTATTCTATTTTATCGAACGAACAGAAGGAGCTTAGTGATTTTTAAAAAGGATAATGTATCTTTTATTTTGAGAAACACACGAACAACGATGGTCGACAAAGGAGACTGTCCGGTGAAACGGCCTCGCGTTTCAGTGCGCCCATTATTCTAGCAAGTACAATCGTAGCATTTATGTTCTATCGTTTTAAGTTTACACGAGGAACCGTTCTCTCTCCAAATTTTCACCAACCAGAGGTAAACACATTGTAACAATGAATCAGGTAGGATCTTTGTAATTGCATCGATGATCCTTTCGTTACATTCCCTTAAACAGCTCAAGGCCAACGGTGGAGAACGGGCTCGATTAATGTTGTAAGCGTTAAACACCGCCGTCCAATTGCGTACTTTTTATTAGAGTTAGCCGCCTAGGTTTTTCATTTTCTTCGAACCACGAGCCTGTAATCACGCGTATACATACGTTTCTTTATTTTATGATAACACTTATCGTAAGGATGTACTTTTCGTTCTTTTATTAATATATTATTGTGTACACTCGAGTGCAGCATAGGCCTTTTTTAGTTAAGAGGGGACTAAAGAATGTGAACAAATCAGGCGAGTGATAAAACACTCCTTTCCCTAAAATTCTTTTTAATTAAAATTAGTCTAAATTGCACGCGACTGTACTTCCGTTTGTATCGCTCGTGCACGCTGAACGTATTCCTGGCATAGAGTGCCTTATAAGCGCAAGCCTGCACCTCTTAAATCGGCTTGCGGGCGAAGACCTACTATGTCGAGACGAGATTTTCTCTTATGCTCGAGAGTTTTACGTAAGACACGTATTTTCTAATGATCTGAAACACATGTGCACGTGGAAACATGATGGGCACGTGGAAATAAAGTTTATCGAGCGTTTGTTACGAAGCTGAATTATCGCTACCCTCGTTTCCATTATCCTTATTCTTCTTTCGTATAGTTTTCAGAAACTGAAGCTTTATCTGTTGTTGATAAAGAAGTATTGAGAAATAATAGTTTCTGAGACATTCGTTCCAAAATTATTGGCAGTTTAAATGCCATTATAAAAGGCAACTTTTGACCGGTATATTAGAAACCATAAATAATAAGATTCTATCCTTGTATTTCATTCAATTCTAACTATAACATGTATACACATACGCTTAGTTTTATAAGGATTTTTCAGGAATGAAATTCGAATGCATTTAATGAGTAAACTCGTAAACTGATTGGTCAACGGATGCATCTGATGCACCAGGAGCAACCAATCGTGTTCTGCGGTCTGCCACGTTTCCGGGTTTGTCGCGTTGTCACATATGAGTTGCGGGAAAAGTTAGCACGCCGTGCACAGTTCGGTCACGGTTCCATCCGTGTTAGAAAGTTTATTTCGTTGATCAAGTATGCAAATATTGCGGCAATTAGATGTGCACCCGAAGGTGCGCGAAGAAGCGGATATTCTCGTGCGAACTTTTAGTGGTGCCATCGGTAATGTGTTTCACTTGTCAAAATTAACACGAGTACCGCCTTCCCGTTTTATTGCGAACAGCTTGTAATAAATTCTTTCACAAGTAGACCGGCTTATCGCCGACTCTTTTTATGCTGTAAAAAATTTCACATAATTTCATTGATTACGTTCTCGGTCGTTTTTTTTGAGAACGAGTTGACTAGACGCGATTAACCTCAATTCTCGACAATAATTCAAGGAATTGAGTATCGCTCGTTATTTCTTTTTATTTTTTCATTCAAACAATATCGTTCATTAGTATTTGCCGAGGTATCATTTAAATTTTTTTACATATCACAAATTGATTGGTAGAATTTGTGACTACTTCATACCTATTGTTTACATTTGACATCAATGGTAAATAAAAGTTCATAACCTATGCTCAATATTTGTGAACGCTTGTGTATGTGATTTCAGTGACGATTATTAGTACCATTATCATGGCCATTTTGTTTCTAACTGAACTGAATTATTATCTTACACCAACCCTTAGTGAAGAACTGTTTGTAGACACGTCAAGGGGTTCTAAATTGAGAATTAACTTGGACATAGTGGTTCCTACAATATCCTGTGATCGTAAGTGCATTTTGTCTTGTGTATACAATTATTAATACTAGACAGGTATTACATTGCGTGTACTTCAGTTCTATCAATAGATGCAATGGACACAACAGGTGAACAACATTTGCAAATAGAACATAATATATTTAAAAGACGGTTAGACTTGCATGGTAAACCTATAGAAGATCCACAAAGAACAGGTGTGTACTAAGGACATATAATAGTTGAAGCAAATAACAAAATCATTTCATTTTCTGTCTATTTTATTATAGATATTACTGACACTAAAGCACTTAGCAAAACAACAACAAAGGTAATTAAACTAAGTACTATTTTTATACATAATACTTTGTACCTTAATTTGTAAAAACTATTCTTTAAAAAAGAAATCTAATTTTACACAGTCAGTGGAAAGTACTACTGTTGAAACATGTGGGGATTGCTATGGAGCTGCTACTGATAAACTCAAGTACTATATTACAAATACTTATGTATCATTTTATAGAAAACTTTCATACATTTGAATTAACCCTGTAGGTGTTGTAATACTTGTGATGATGTAAGAGAAGCTTATAGTCATAAGAATTGGGCTCTTCCTGATCCAGCAACAATCAAACAATGTCAGAATGATAAATCAGTAGAGAAAATGAAAACTGCCTTTACTCAAGGGTGTCAGATCTACGGTTATATGGAAGTGAATAGAGTAGGAGGAAGCTTCCACATTGCACCAGGCAATAGTTTCTCAGTTAACCATGTACATGGTAAATTAAAAACATGTCTTCCTTCCTCCTACATGAACTAAACTTATAAAAAACAGTATATGATAATATGCTTTAAATTGTGCTTACAGTGCATGATGTTCAGCCATATACATCAACTCAATTCAATATGACCCATAAAATTCGCCACTTAAGCTTTGGGCTAAACATTCCAGGAAAGACAAATCCCATAGATGATACCACTGTAGTTGCAATGGAAGGTATGCCCTTATTCTATAGAAACATTTTATTAACAAATTAACAGAATTCTCTTGCATTATACAATCCATTGTGTCCTAAATTTGAAGCATAAGTCTTCAAGTACTAGCATCGTATTCCAGTTCCTATAGCCATAAATGTACCAAACGTTCCACCACCTTGGAGCATCACTTTTCCAACGTTGTTTATCAGTTCCCTCCCTCTTAATCCATATCTAACAATAAATATTCCGTTATAATTTCGACAAAAGATATCCTGTGATATTACTTATGATGAATAAATTTATACCTAAGTGCAGAAAATCCCCCGAACAAAGCACCAGATGCCATGCCAACACAAAATCCAATCATGAAACCCAATTTCATCCTATCCCAGCACGAAGGAGCTTGTTGATACATACCTCCCGATACGACCGGCATTTTCTTCTACGAATATAATTTCCGATAAGGACATACAATTTTAACCTATTTAGTATACATATCGTACACTTAAAACTTACGATTCTTTTGCATGAATATAAAACATAAAATTTATTTTTGTTGATAATTTAATAGAAAATGTGTTAATTTAACTTCAACATGCTGTAAAATTGTTTCATTAATATGCTCCCGGTATAATCAGAAACTGTTTTATTCGTAAAGGAATATGTAAATATGTTTTTTTAGTTATTGTTACTCACAATTTATTTATCCGTCGTTGAAAATTATATTTCACTTTTGTATCGTTCTTTCTTTTTTTATATTACAACTTATAAATCTCTTGCACGATACATTCAACACATCGCACCATCGAATAAGAAGGACGCCATGTTTCTTCATATATGATAAAAAACTACTGCTTCGACGCTTCCGTTTGTTCTGAATGGCGGAACATTCAATTTACGCTAAAGTATTTCTATTCAATAACGTTTAAATGCTTTATCGAAAGAACATTTACTTTCAATTTTAAAATACTAAATCGTTAGGTCAGTCTCATGCAATCCTCGTGATACCACGTGTCACTGCAATTGAAGCTCTACATTAATGTTTCCTTGTTTTTTTTTTGTTTCAGGTGCGATGATGTTTTATCATTACATCAAAATTGTGCCTACAACTTATGTGCGTGCCGATGGTTCCACGTTATTAACAAATCAGTTCTCGGTAACTCGACACGCCAGACAAGTGCCCCTATTTAGTGGTGAATCTGGTATGCCCGGAATATTCTTTAGCTATGAACTAAGCCCATTGATGGTAAAATATACGGAAAAAGCAAAATCATTCGGTCATTTCGCCACAAACTTATGCGCGATTATTGGGGGTGTATTCACTGTTGCTGGGTTGATCGATTCGTTGCTGTATCACTCGGTTAAAGCGATACAAAAGAAAATAGAACTAGGAAAGTACAGTTAAAACTTAGATCGATTTGCTAATGTGAAAAGTATTGTAAAATTTCCAATGATATTTTTCATAACGACGGATAATTTAAGCTATGAATGCCTGCTGTAAAGTAGCATGATCTTTTTATCCAGTAATCGGGCGTATTGACAAGAAAAAAGGCTAATGTAATAACATAAGATTTATTGATCTTTTGTATTACCTCAAATAATACTGGCACATTTCTGTGTAAAATATATAATGCTGTACATAAAGATTTATAGAAGTATTTAAGAGTCTTTAATATTTAAGTAAAAATGACAAATACAATAAAGATTATGTTATTACTTTAAAAGAAAACTATAATACAATTGTATATGCATTAACTATTTCTTTATATATTAAAAGCTTTTTAAGAACAAATTGTAAGTATCAATAGAACATTTTGCAACATTATTACAAAAATCAACATCTGTACCAGTAACCAAGACCTTAGGTGAAACATACAATGGTTTCAAAGGATCATATTGATCTTTTTGTAAGTGTACTAATAATTCATGCCTCCGTTGAAGTCTATGTTGTCTACATAGTAAGATTATTGGCTGTACAGCAATAGTTTTGTGGGACAATTTCATTTTGTTATGAGCATAATCAAAAGTTTTTACCACTTCAACCTTAGCTGCAATTAAAATGAAAAATCATATAAAACAAATAATGGATCACTGAGATATTTTCAATTTGTTTTTATCTTATTTACCTCGAATCCACACTCTAGGTGCTTGGAGTAAAATAAGTTGTGCTTCAATCAAATTAAAACCCATTTCTTCTTGAACAGCAAAACTACTATTTCTTATTCTATTCATATCATATGTTATAAGTTTTGGACATGTTACAGTTAAATGTCTTACTTGTTCTCCTGATAGTTTATAAGCATTCTGAAAATGACCTAATCTGTTATCTATAATCTTTGTTTTGAAAGACAACCAAGGAGGATGTTTGTTTACTATCGATTTTATCATGTCTGGTGAAAACATATGAGCTCTTAAGTATCTTATTCTTGTATGAAGATCATCCATATTTTCCTTGAAGATTTTAGGATTTCTGGTAATGAAGTAACCAAGTCTTTCTGGCATTACACCACAGTCATGTAAAAACTGTATATATGGTTTGATGTCCTTCTCAAAATCTAAAGTCAGTAACATTTCTGTTACATCTCTATCACTTTCTAATTTATATAATTCAACGCCTAATTTAACTAACTGCTGAAGTGTATATGAATTATCTGCAAATTTTGCAAGATTGTAAGTTGCTGTAATGTGAGGTCCAATATGAGAAAGATCTTCATTACAAGGATCCAATGGTCCTGGTAGTTTTTCATCTATATCCTCTAAAGCATCAGTCAGTTTATATTTATGTGTATCTAACAAATCAACGTTATGAGCATCATATTTATTATCCTCGTTGTTTTTCTCAGAAATGTCACTCGTTAACCCTCCAATATAACTTTTACCATTCGACGTAATATTTTCTGCGAAGCGACAATCATTAGGAATTTTATTAGAAGCTTTATCCTTTAAATTATCAATTGAAGAGCACAGAGCAAGTTTAGAACTTGTTGAAATATTTCGAAAAATAAAACTGGTTACTTCACTGGTCTTGCAGCGCGCAAGCCGTAAAATAGTATATGAATGTAATAATACCATGTTTAATAAGAAAATGCAATTATATAATTATGTATGTACAATAAAATTTTGATAACAAATCATAAACTTTTCATTACTGACAATGTTAAACAACATTGTAATATGTTCATACCAGTGACTACAGATGTAGAAAACTGGACATGCCTTTGCTTTCGAGGGGTCATGATTTCTGGGGTTCCAGACACCCCAGATGATGTCTGGTCGGGATGCAGAGCGCCGTAGGTTCGCTGGGGTCCCTGGCAACCCGTATGAATTCAGGTTGGTATGCAGAGAGCGTCATCTATCTACAGGGGTCCTTGGCACCCCAAGACGATATCACATTCCTATACAGATAGAGTCATCGATGGGGTCTCTGACACCCCGGGTGCCATGCAAAAAGCGTCTAAGGGGTCCCTAACACCCCAAGATAATATGCAACGCATTGCTGCATCGGGGTCCCTGACACCCCGGTTGCCGTAATGTCGGTATGCCGAGCACCGCGGGTTCGAAGGGGTCTCTGACACCCCAGCATGAAATCGGGTCGGTATGCAGATAGCACCCACCAGCCACCACCCACATGAAGCTAGCCGGAAGGAATAATAAAATATGATTATTTTTAACTTTTCTTAGTGTATTTCGTTTGTAAATCGTTCGTGATTGATTGTGAGTCTATCTTTAACGTTAGTGACAAATTAGTTCTTATGCAATTAGCAATTTTATTTCAATCATGATGTGAGTCGAAACTTTGTAGTAATTTTTTATAATAAACAGATTTTGTGATAACTGATAACTGTAATTGATTGAAAATCGTTTGTGATTAACAAATATATCATTTTCATTGTTTGTGAGTGAATAATTTCTTAATTATTTACAAGTTTGTTTTATAATAAATAATTGTAGTGAGCATGCGCCACAGATCCGGTCGTACCCATCACTATCCCGAACCAGTGAGTTTCACGACTTGTTCGTTTCTCGTTCTTATATTTCGCTAGATCCACTCAAACCCATCACTATTCCGAACAAGTAAGTTTCACGATTTGTTCGCTTTTCGTTCTTATATTTCGCTAGATCCGCTCAAACCCATCACTATTCCGAACAAGTAAGTTTCAGGATTTGTTCGTTTTCCGTTCCTATATTTCGCTAGATCCGCTCAAACCCATCACTATTCCGAACAAGTAAGTTTCACGATTTGTTCGTTTTTCGTTCTTATATTTCGCTAGTTGCTTCGGGGTCCTTGAAACCCCAAATAGCATAATATCGGTGTCACCGGTTCCTCGGGGTCTCAGACACCCCGAATGCAGTAGTGTCGGTAAACAGAGAGTGTCGACGATGTTTCGGGGTCCTTAGCACCCCGTGTGGTATAATCTTGGTATGCAAAGATACTTGCCGGTGTTTCGGGGTCCTTAAGACCCCAATATGATATCAGGTCGGTACGTAGAGATATTGACAGGTGCTTCGGGGTCCTTGGCACCCCGGATGATATAATATTGGTATGCAAAAATACTCACCGGTGTTTCGGGATCTTTAAGACCCCAGTATGATATCAGGTCGGTATGTAGGGATATTAACTGGTGCTTCGGGGTCCTTGGCACCCCGGATGATATAATATTGGTATGCAGAAATACTCACCGGTGTTTCGGGATCTTTAAGACCCCAGTATGATATCAGGTCGGTATGTAGGGATATTAACTGGTGCTTCGGGGTCCTTGGCACCCCGGATGATATAATATTGGTATGCAGAAATACTCACCGGTGTTTTGGGATCCTTAAGACCCCAATATGATATCAGGTCGGTACATAGGGATATTGACTGGTGCATCGGGGTCCTTGGCACCCCGGATGATATAATATTGGTATGCAGAAATAGTCACCGGTGTTCCGGGATCCTTAAGACCCCAATATGATATCAGGTGCGTACGTGGAGATATCGACTGCTGTTTCGGGGTCCTTGGCACCCCGGATGATACAATATTGTTATGCAGAAATACTCACCGGTGTATCGGGGTCCTTAAGACCCCAATATGATATCAGGTCGGTACACAGAGGGCGCTATTGGCGCAGCGGGGTCCCTAACACCGCAGGATGAAATCAGGTGCGTATGAAGAGGGCACAACAAATATAATTATTTCGAGAGTTTATTTAATTTACTTCATTTATTTTTTTTTGCTTATTGAATAAGCTCATCGAAGTGGAATAAAATTTTTGATTATATCCCTCTTCTGGGCCTCAGCCGAGGACTCCATTTATTCTACTTTTCCCAGTTATTTATATAATTTCATCCCTCATTATAGGCCAAGGCCATCTCAGTATCCCTTATATCCCTGCATTCCTTACATTCCTGCGAACCTTGAATTGCTTTTTTTTTTTTTTTTTTTTTTTTTTAACGTGGTGGAAATCTTCAGAAAGACACCTTCAGCCCCCCTGGGGAGGGGCCGAAGGTAGTGTGGGATTTTTACCCACTAAAACCACCACGGTGGCCTGCGCTAGGGCGGTAGGGTGGGTCCTTTGACCCACCGCCATGTGTCACTCTCCGCCGACATCGGGCCCACACCCGATGGCGGCACCCCTCAGGCCGCGTGCAGTGGAGACCAGGGCCCCAGCCCCGAACCCCTACAGAATTCCTTTACATCCGTCGTTCCGTTACATCTCTGCATTCTTTTCATCCCTTAAATCCCTACACTCTCTTCATCCCTACATTCTTTTCATCACTACATTTCTTTCATCCCTACATCCCTTTCATCCTTACATTCTTTCCATCCCTACACTCTCTTCATCCCTACATTCCTTTCATCTCTACATTCCTTTCAACCCTACATTCTTTTCATCCCTACATTCTTTTCATCCCTACATCCCTTTCATCCTTACATTCTTTTCATCCCTTAAATCCCTTCATTATTATCATCTCTCCACTCTTTTCATCCCTACATTCTCTTCATCCGTACACTCCCTTCATCCCTACATTCCTTACATCGCTTCATCCCTTACATCCCTACATTGTTTTCATCCCTACATTCCTTACATCACTTCATCCCTTACATCCCTACATTGTTTTCATCCCTACATTCCTTACATCACTTCATCCCTTACATCCCTACATTCCTTTCACCCCTACATTCTTTTTATCCCTGTATTTCTTACATCTCTGCATCCCTTACAATAAATATATTATAAAGACTGCTTCGAGTAAAGGTAAGTAAAGGTAAGTTGATTCCTTTTTTCGCCACCAGAGGGCGCTGATTCGATGTTGAATCAGCGCCCTCTGGTTTTCGAAAAAGGAACTAAATCAAGCAGAGATTTTGGCCCTCTAGCGGCAAAAATGTGAACTAAAATCTCGACCTCGAATCAGCGCCATCTGGTTTTTGAAAAAGGAACTAAATCAAGCAGCGATTTTGGCCCTCTAGCGGCAAAAATGTGAACTAAAATCTCGACCTCGAATCAGCGCCATCTGGTTTTTGAAAAAAGGAACTAAACCAATCAGCAATTTTGGCCCTCTAGTGGCAGAAATGTGAACTAAAATTTCGATGTCGAATCAGCGCCCTCTGGTGGCGAGAAGAGGAACTAAATTTGTATAAAGTCGCAGGCCTCATAGCCGCAAAAATTTCAATTCAATATCAGGGAGGTACTGGGATGTAAGGAATGTAGGGATGGAAAGAATGTATGGATGAAAAGAATGTAGGGATGAAGGGAATGTAGGTATGAAAAGAATGTAGGGATGTAAAGGATGAAGGGATGTAAGGGATGAAGAGAATGTAGGTATGAAAAGAATGTAGGGATGAAAAAAATGCAGGGATGTAAGGGATGAAGAGATGTAAGGAATGTCGGGATCTAAGGGATAAAGATATGTAAGGAATGTAGGGATATAAGGGATGAAGCGATGTAAGGAATGTAGGGATGAAAGGAATGTAGGGATGGAAAGAATGTATGGATGAAAAGAATGTAGGGATGTACGGGATGAAGGGATGTAAGGGATGAAGATAATGTAGGTATGAAAAGAATGTAGGGATGAAAAGAATGCAGGGATGTAAGGGATGAAGATATGTAAGGAATGTAGGGATATAAGGGATGAAGCGATGTAAGGAATGTAGAGATGAAAAGAATGCAGAGATGTAAGGGATGCAGAGATGTTAGGAATACTGAGATGTAAGGAATGCAGTGGTATAACGGTGCAGAGATATAGTGGAATCATAGATATAAAGGGCGCAGACAGAAGTAATAAAATCAATACGTTTGTCCTCCCCTCTTTTACCGACAGAGATTCTCAGTATATATTACTACGAATTTTCTCTAGATGGCAATAATGTATGCTTTACAGTAAAATTATCGATAAAAGGGGGACACAATAATGAACTCAGTTTTGACGGATGATTTTGGATTATACTTACAGCAACAGCTGGGTGTGATTATTGTAATATAGATGACCGGTACTATTATCTGGATCATAGTTCATTTATTGTAATGTGCAACTATGGCTCGAGTAATATTTAATACATCAAACAATCGTAAGTTCGTTAATTATACCATTGTTTAAGGTAATATTGTATGTTTTATTTAATAAAGATTGTTTTAAGTGTTTGAAGAAATAATAAGTAAGTTTAGGTATTTAACTCCTAAACAATTGATTTGTATGTTTAATCGAAGAATGACAAGTTTCTTTATTATAATTTATAACATTAATAAAAGTATTTTATATGTTGATTATAATCTATACTAATTTGGTAATGAATTAAATGATTCAAATGAAGTGTACACCTATTTTTTAATGCAAATTTTATTTAATGTACATTGTGTTTAAAAGAAAAATTCTACTAAATGTTTTCACAACGTTAAAGCATTTATAAACGCATTATAATATTGGAATGATTATATCATGTAGAAGATACATATTGCACCATCACTTTTGTATGGAAGTGAACTTTACTCTCATAATATACATATATACGCATACATAGCGATATAAATAAACGTTATTTCGATGGACCAATTACCGACTTATGATATGCAACATAGGTTTTTTAGAGCGTGACGTACTTACGAAAACACAAGTAGAAATGTATTGTCTTGATCAGACAAATTCATAAGAATTATATTGATAGGCTAGATTCATTTCTTTACTAATATCTTTATCTTTCGATTTGACAA